ATCATTTTTTCTTTTCTCATTATATGATAGATTAGCACTCGCCTGTCAAATTCTCTTTTGTGACAAAAATTAACATTTAACCCCTTATTTTATAAAATCGGTAGATTTTAGTTTCTCACCTTATAATATGATAGTTTTAGCCTTTTATCTTACAAAATTAATAAGTTTTAACCCCTCACCTTATAAAGTTGATAGATTTTAACCATTTACCTTATATAATAATATTTTTACCCCATCATCGATACAAAATCAAAGAAAATAACCCTTACCTAATATCAAGTTATAACGTTTTGTTAGTTCTGTTAGTTGATTGTTAATATCTGTTAGCATTCCATTATAAAAAATATAAAATTTAAATTCAATTTTATTTGTTAGTTTCATTAATGAAATGCTAACGGATACCAACAATCAACTAACAGTCAGTTAATAAAACTAACAGTCAGTTAACAAAACTAACAGTCAGTTGACAGTCAACTAACAAAACTAATAGAACATTAAAACTTGATGTTAAATAAGAGCTATTTTCTTTAATTCGTACAGGGTTAAAAATGTTTGTAAGGTAAGGGGTTCAAACTTACCAATTTTATAAGATAAAGGGCTAAAAATATCATATTATAAAATTAAAGGCTAAAACTTACCAATTTTATAAGATGAGAGGCTCAATATTGATTTTAACCCTCCTTTGTTGCAAAGATACACTCTGGTGACTGTGATGATGACAAGGGGATCTTTCCATCCATGTGATTGTCTTGATTGACAGATAGTTTGCTTGATTTTCTGCAACCCCAAAAGAAAACGTTTCTTCTCCGATGAGCTCTGTGTAGGGTAATTGACTGCACCTTATATATAATGTCTCTCACCAAATTCAAATTCGATTCCTTCCTATTCTCCTATCCCCACAATGAAATTCTGTTAAAAAAAGAAAAAAAACGAAAACATTTCCTTTTATTTATCTTCTGGAAAACTTGTTTAAGAAGTTTGAAATTCAAACAACAGAATCACAGTCATACTAGTTTCATTTCATATACTAAAAAAAAAAGTAAAGGTTAGTGGCCATGGAGGAGGCTAGAAAGGAACTGGGTGTTGATCAAAAGCAGGAAGAAGAGAAATGGATAACCCATTGTTCTACTCAAAATTATTGAGATTCATTATCATCTTTTTAAAAAGATAATTTTTAATATATATGAATAAATTTGGACTCTAAAAGTAGTGAGATAAATAGTTAAAATTTTATATAAATATAATATGTAAGATTTGTGTGTAAATAGATTCTCATTCTTAAAATTTTTTTTACAAGATGTGTTTTAAAATGTAATAAATATATATTTTTGTCATAAATTTATATTAAAAAATTAAAATTAAAATTTAA